AGTACATAGCATGCTTCACAGTCAGGGTTACCGCATTCAGGATGTACTCTTTAGTCTTATCAGGTTTTGCTACATCTGTTTTGATGCATTGTCCTAGATGCACATATGCATCCCATGATTTTTGTGTCTTCTGATAATTTTTTACTTTAGACTCTATTTTTAGTTGAAAATATTTTCATACAATATATTCTGATATATAAATAGAAAAAAAGCTAAAGGAAAAGCACAAGAAGCACACAGATACAAAGACACATTCTCACACACACAGAAAACCCATAAAAACAAAGTTGGAAACCATAATATGTAAGCAGAATACCTGTAAGGTTTAAAAAAATGTTCAGACAAAGCATTATGAGATTTTAAAAAATACCTCTAAAAATACCATTGAATCCATCTTCTGTTGGCTGTCTACTGCTGGATATAGGCTTGCCCTTAAGTATGGTTTGTAAATGCAGTGAAATTCTGTTGGAGAAAACTAATTTTCCTTTTGCAAGTGATTACAGTTGGGCATCAAGTGGAGAACTTGCCTATCTGTGCCATGTTCTGGGTTTGGTCCTCAGCCAAACAGCTTTCCACAGGACAGATGAACCAAAGCTAATTCGTGTGCATCATTCATTAAAGTTAAGCTGATACAGCTGATGGGGAAGGGGCCTCCTCACTCCTTTTGTGTTTGAAGATGTGGTCTTACTCTGGCACTGGCTCGAACTCACGACAATCCTCCTTCCCTTCCCTCCCAAGGGTTGAATTTACAGACATAAACCCCCAAGCCCAGCTTCTTTTCCTTTTTCTTCTCTCCTTTAAAGTAGAAAAAAATACATTTTTTGCTAACTCCCCAACTGTTCCTTTTGGTAGTTTCTGTAACCAGTTTAGGATGCTTCCCTAACTTAGAGAGTGACTGTGTAGAAACAATGCTGGACCGCTTTATGTAGACAGTGGGGTCTTCTGTTGTATCCGTCCATTTAGTTCTCTGTTGCTTGTGATATTCTCGTCATGTATATTACATCTCAGTACATGTAAGCCTGATGGCACAGTGTTACCAGTTTGGCTTTGAGGATTCCTATATATTTCAAAAAAAAATAACAGCCTTTTATATTTATCTACACATGTACTGTTTCTGATGCTCCTCATTTCTCTTTATAGATCCAAATTTCCATATGGTGTCATTTTCCTACAGTTTGAAAAACATCCTGTTATTTCTTGTAGTGCAGGTGTTCTGGCAACAAATTTCCATTTTTAATTTAAAAATATTTCTTCTTTTTTGAGGAATTTTTTATCAAATTCAAATGCTGAGGTGTCTGGTTTGTCTGTTTAGTTTTAACATTGTAGAGATATCCCTTCTCTTATGTTCTGGCCGTTCTATTGCAGTGCTCATAGAGCATCATACGTAATGCCACTGGCCTGTGTGTCACTAACATTTCTCAAGTTGAAGGATCCTCTTTGTCTTTGCTTTTACTCCATTTGACTATCAGGTTTTTCATCAGGTTTAGAAAATATTCAGGCATTACATTCAGGACACCTTTCTCAAGTTATTTTTCTGTCCCATCTTCATGAATTCTCCTTTAAGATTTCAATTTTTCCTTTTCAAACAGCTTTGAGTTGCTATTACAGTCCCAGAGAGTCTGCTTATTTTTCTTCAATTTTTTTTCTATTTTCCAAATTAGGTCATTTCTGTTGCCTCTGTTATAAAATTCACTTAACATTTATGCTTTCATCTTCATTTTCCAATTTTTATGTCAACTGCTGTAATTTCCAGTTCTAAAATTTCCATCTAGTTTTAATTATAGTCTAAATATCTCTGCTGAAGCTGCCTATCTTCTCATTCATTAAGAGTTTGTTTTATGTCCATCATAACTACTTCTTGATTGCCTAATAAACCAATCTGAAATTGAAATTATCATAAGTCCAAAATGTATTTCAGCCCAGATTCTAGCACCAGAAGACCTGGGTTGCTCCAACTTGAGTCAGAAAAGCCACTTTGTGCGGTGGAGAGATATCCAGTTGGTGAGAGTGCCGAGAGTAAGAGACTGTGTGCTGAGCCATAAATGGGACATCTTTATTAATAACCCCACCATCACCACCATTCAGGGATCACTATGGAAGCAGAGGCAATAGCTAGAAGACCCCATTCCAAGCTGAGAACCTATTGGCAGTGGGAGAGCCGGGCTTCTTCTTGATTATACAGCCACTGGTAGCTCTCCCGTGCTTCAGTGGATGGCTATATATCCATGCATATATGGATAGCAGTAACTGCATTTAGTAGGATATCAAAAAATAACATGAAGTTGGGGAAGGCTCATTGGAAGGATATAAAGGAAGTCTGAGGGAGGAGAAAAGGAATAGAAGGTAAATATGGTCCTATTTTATCATATACATATATGACATTTTTTAAAAAATGATTTTTTTTCTAAATGGATTAGTTTGTCTTAAAGTTCCATGGGGAGAGCCCATATGACTGGGGACACAGACATGGCAGCAGGCAACCAGGTCAAGATGATGAGAAATGGCGTGTGTGACCACAAGCATAAAGTAGAGTACTGGAGATTCTATGGAATTAGACTCCTCTGGAGGCCTGAGATTGTCTTCAGAAGTCAGTTTTCATTCTCCATAGCAGAGAGGGTCGGGACAGATCCCGTTGTGTTTCTAGAACACAGAAGGACATGAGAGCACTCTCCTGCTTTTGTTTCCTCTTCATCCAGCAGTTCCCCGTGTTCAGCGTGGGGTTCCTCTCTGTAGTCCACCCCTTCCTTCCTCCTCTTCCTCCTCTTCATCCTCCTGCACTCAGCAGTCCCCTGTGTTCAGCGTGGGCTTCCTCTCTGTAGTCTACCCCTTCCTTCCTCCTCTTCATCCTCTTCATCCAGCAGTCCCCATGTTCAGCGTGGGCTTCCTCTCTGTAGTCCACCCCTTCCTTCCTCCTCTTCATCCTCTTCATCCAATAGTCCCTGTCTTCAGCGTGGGCTTCCTCTCTGTAGTCCACCCCTTCCTTCCTCCTCTTCATCCTCTTCATCCAATAGTCCCTGTCTTCAGCGTGGGCTTCCTCTCTGTAGTCCACCCCTTCCTTCCTCCTCTTCATCCTCTTCATCCAGCAGTCCCTGTGTTCAGTGTGGGGTTCCTCTCTGTAGTCCACTCCTTCCTTCATCCTCTTCATCCTCCTGCACTCAGCAGTCCCCCGTGTTCAGCGTGGGGTTCCTCTGCATACCCCCTCCTTCAGGACTTTACAAGGTTCCCCCTTGGGAAATGAGCGCTTTTCACAAGAACTTTGTCCCTATTCTCTGCCATGGCTTGTGACTTCTGATCATGGACATTTTTAAAAAGTACTCAACGATAAGAGTTAGTGAGAGACGATGGCCAAACCTTTGTAAGAAAAGGAAAGTGAGGATCTCATTTCCCCATAAAAATTATCTTAGAACACTCAATTATATGAAAGGTAGTGGACAGGAAGGCCGTGTCATCCTGGGTATATGTATGTCTTCTTTACTGTGTTTCTGTGATGACCCTGGAGTGGATCTTGGCCTCCTAGGACTAAGTCCAATAGTTCTTTCAACGACTGTTCTGCAGTTAAGCCACATCTCAACCTATATACTTTATATAGTTGATACATAGAACAAGTCTAGGAAAGGCCATCATCTCATGAAATTTGGAGCTCAATAGATGTGTGGGTTTGTAAATGTGAAGGAAAAGAAGAGAGGAAGAGAGGATTGAAGAACAGATTATTTAGCAGTTAACATCTTAATCAAGTAGATGTGGCTTTTCTTTAGAGTTTAAAATGCTGGGCAAAAGGAGAAGTCATCTTCCGGAGGAACAGCCATGGTTGCAGAAGCCCCTAGGAAGCTTTTAAAAAGGAAAGAACACACGAGGTAAACAGGGAGGGAGGAGATGGGACTGGTCTCAGGCAGTCCATTCACTTAAATGGGTGAGACTCCAGACATGCTCTTAGTAAAACTTTTCCAGATAACTTAAATTCACCACCATTCTGTGAACCAGTGCCTAAAATCAGCATCTTTTCTAAGAACACTTATGACAGAGGCCGTTTTTCCTGTGACAGATTCAAGTATGCTAGCATTTTTCTTACAAACCTGCCTCCTTATGTGAATCTCGGTGTGTCCCACTGTGGTCCATCCTTCCATTGTTTTCCATCAGTATCTCAGTAGGACATTGACATGCCAGTCAAAGACATGGTGTTTCCAAACTCCTGCCATCCTTTGGTAAGCCTTCCATACCCACGTGGTTGGCCCATCCCTGGTGTAGCTACGGAGATTTTGGTCTTCATTTCTCCTCATTTCTAAAGTGACTCCGTGCGACCCTACACCAAGCTTGTGTCACCTGTTGTAGTCCCATCTCAAATACATTGGCCCTAGGGCCCTGCAATTGTGTTTCTGCTATTTATCTTCAGCCTCTGTCTCCCATCGCTCACATACACCACGCCACATTAATTTCATTTTGGCTTTGATTTGTCTTACATAAATAAATGCTTCATCTCGCTTTGCTTTTCTGCCAGGCTTTGATCCGTCATTGCTTCCCTTTCTTCTTGCCTGACCGAGACCATGAAGTTAACGTAAATGCCTCCTCATCAGCTTACCTAACCTCCTTGGGCCTCCAGTTGTTGCACTGTCTCTAGATAACAAATGCTGATACATTAATCCCCAGTGCTCATCTTTAGGACTTAGGAAACATGTTAGACATGCACATCTGTCTTTAACCTGCCTTTTTATTTCTCAGACACTCTGATTCTCACTCGTACTATTTGGCTTTAGTAGCAGTTTAATGGGCTTGAGTCTCATTCCTGTGACTCCAAAGGTAGTTTGAGGATTAACATCATTAAACTAGTTTGTTCTCCAAAATAGCTGTAGCAAGACAGAATATACATTCAGAAAAATATTCAAATCGTATATCCATTAAAAGAAGACAAAGATTCTCACTGCCATGGATTGTATTTCCCATATGTCCATGTGATGTGTGTCTCCCCTGTGCCGCCTACAGTCCATTCATGCTTCCTCTTTCAGCTTCGTAAAGTCGAAATGTGACGGATGGCTGTGTGGAACCTCGACATCCTTCAAAAAATGCCCAGACTCTGCCAACAGTGGACAGAACAGGAGGGACAAGAAGACAGTTGAGTTTCAGCCACATGTGGAGGATAATGGCCAGTGGGTATGCCGGGAGAAAGACGCCTGCAGACCCCAGAAAGGTGAGTGCAGTGTCTGTCAGCAGTAGCAGAAAGGGAAGCCACTAAGGACAGTGGAAGGTGGCTGGTGTCTGCAACCCAGTGAACAGCAGGTGACTTACGCTATGCCACACTGGAGTTAGCATTTCAGATAAACATATGCCTGCAAAGCTGTGGTGACACAGCTACTAGAGTCTCAGATCACATCTACATTTATTTCTCTTAGAGTACTGGTATGAGAACCTCTGTCTAGTTTGGCTCCCTTTTTAAAAGCTGGATTGGACAGTAAGTATGTTCATAGATATCAAATGTTGTTCTCCAAGTGAGTAACAGAATGAGGAGTTGAACATAAACCTCTCCTGCAAAGTAAGGCCTCATAAAGGTTGATCCTCAGTTGACTGGTGATGTGGGGAATGTAGACAGGAGGTCGTGAGCATCTTTACGTTGTTATTAAATGCAGTCACCCACGTCTGAACAAATAGTGCCTAGCATTCTTTGAAGTGCTAATAGCACTGCACATAACTCTGAAATGATAAAAGAGGTGTTTGTTTCCCAGCATAGACTCCTGGTACAGTCTATGCCACCAGCCTTAAGGACTAACTGGAAAGGGAATGTCCATGTGGACGGATGTACAGGAAACAGCCTCCCCTGCTCACACACTGACTCTCACCTGATTTTTTTGTGTGCTCCTACTTCCACCAGGAAAGCTCCTCTCCTGCAATTTTAAGCAACCAACTGTTTATAATCTCTGCATCAACTCTCACGTTTGCTTATTTATTTGAGAATGGGTATGCTCTGTGAGAAAATTCTGCATGCACCTGTCTCTGCTTTTCCCACCTGCTGCCAGCTTTGCTGGGTTCTGAGGGTTAATTGCCAGTAACCTAGAAATCGCTTTATCCTCTTCCAGGCAACCAAGAGATGACAATTTTTCCAAACTTCAAAAGGGAAACTCCACAATTTCTCTTTGGCAAAAGGCAACTATTCTAGAGAGCTCCACTGAAGACAGACAACGTAAAAGCTTCCTTTTAGGTGTTGCTACCTAAGACAGGTGAAATTGAGGAGACTCACTGTCTGGGATAGCCTCTCACTCTGTGGCAATAGTCTTTCAGCAGTGGGAAACCTTTACTTTGGTTCCCCTTATTTCTGCCATTGCGCTTCAGAGAGAGAGAGGTTCCACTCAGAGCTGGTCTAGTGGCTTCTCTGCAAGGCTTAACATAATTTTCTGTTAACTTGTCAACACATGTATGTTTGTGCCAGCACTAAAATGAGGAAATAAAAAACTATGTTGCAAAATAGCAGAGGGCTAACTGGCGGGTGTGGCTGGTGGAGACTCACACAGTGTTAGAGAGCAACTCTTGGAGAAGACACTTGTCGGGCACCACTGGGACAGTCTAGGTGTGCTGCAGGCAGACCTCTCCCTGTCCCAGCTACAGAAGACACTTGTCAGGCACCACTGGGACAGTCTAGCTGTGCTGCAGGCAGACCTCTCCCTGTCCCAGCTACAGAAGCCAGAAGCCTGGAAAAGGCTGGTGTCCCCCCCAAAAAATGAGTTTCTAATTGGAAACAAAATCATTTTGACTACCAGGAGTTCAGGACCCATTGCTTGTGCTGTGCCGTGTGCTGGCATTGCAGTACCTTTTCCTGTGGGCGGTGATCAGGAGTGCTGCTAGACAGCCGATCTAGCTCGGAGGAGCTGCGTTACACATCCACAGTTGTCAGGGGTGTATTACACATCCACAGTTCTTGGGATGTATTACACATCCACAGTTCTCGGAGGAGCTGTATTACACATCCACAGTTCTCGGGGTGTATTACACATCCACAGTTCTCGGAGGAGCTATATTACACATCCACAGTTCTCGGAGGAGCTGTATTACACATCCACAGTTCTCGGAGGAGCTGCATTACACATCCACAGTTCTCGGGGTGTATTACACATCCACAGTTCTCAGAGGAGCTGCATTACACATCCACAGTTCTCGGAGGAGCTGTATTACACATCCACAGTTCTCGGGGTGTATTACACATCCACAGTTCTCGGAGGAGCTGTATTACACATCCACAGTTCTCGGGGTGTATTACACATCCACAGTTCTCGGGCTATATTACACATCCACAGTTCTCGGAGGAGCTGTATTACACATCCACAGTTCTTGGGGTGTATTACACATCCACAGTTCTCAGAGGAGCTGTATTACACATCCACAGTTCTCAGAGGAGCTGTATTACACATCCACAGTTCTCGGGGTGTATTACACATCCACAGTTCTCGGAGGAGCTGTATTACACATCCATAGTTCTCGGGGTGTATTACATATCCACAGTTCTCGGAGGAGCTGCATTACACATCCACAGTTCTCGGGGTGTATTACACATCCACAGTTCTCAGAGGAGCTGCATTACACATCCACAGTTCTCGGAGGAGCTGTATTACACATCCACAGTTCTCGGGGTGTATTACACATCCACAGTTCTCGGAGGAGCTGTATTACACATCCACAGTTCTCGGGGTGTATTACACATCCACAGTTCTCGGGCTATATTACACATCCACAGTTCTCGGAGGAGCTGTATTACACATCCACAGTTCTTGGGGTGTATTACACATCCACAGTTCTTGGGGTGTATTACACATCCACAGTTCTCGGAGGAGCTGTATTACACATCCACAGTTCTCGGAGGAGCTGTATTACACATCCACAGTTCTCGGGGTGTATTACACATCCACAGTTCTCGGAGGAGCTGTATTACACATCCACAGTTCTCGGAGGAGCTGTATTACACATCCACAGTTCTCGGAGGAGCTGTATTACACATCCACAGTTCTCGGAGGAGCTGTATTACACATCCACAGTTCTCGGGGTGTATTACACATCCACAGTTCTCGGGGTGTATTACACATCCACAGTTCTCGGAGGAGCTGTATTGCACATCCACAGTTCTCGGGGTGCATTACACATCCACAGTTCTCGGAGGAGCTGTATTACACATCCACAGTTCTCGGGGTGTATTACACATCCACAGTTCTCAGAGGAGCTGCATTACACATCCACAGTTCTCGGGGTGTATTACACATCCACAGTTCTCGGAGGAGCTGCATTACACATCCACAGTTCTCGGGGTGTATTACACATCCACAGTTCTCGGAGGAGCTGTATTACACATCCACAGTTCTCGGAGGAGCTGTATTACACATCCACAGTTCTCGGGGTGCATTACACATCCACAGTTCTCGGAGGAGCTGTATTACACATCCACAGTTCTCGGAGGAGCTGTATTACACATCCACAGTTCTCGGGGTGTATTACACATCCACAGTTCTCGGAGGAGCTGCATTACACATCCACAGTTCTCAGGGTGTATTACACATCCACAGTTCTCGGGGTGTATTACACATCCACAGTTCTCGGAGGAGCTGTATTACACATCCACAGTTCTCAGGGGTGTTGTCACTCACCCTTTTACTCTCCAGCACCTCCCCTGACCCCTCGTTCTCTTTCTCTTTAGAGGGCAGGGGGATGTAGTGTGATAGTGAAAATAACATCAAAAAACCTTATCATCTGTTCACAAGTTTGAAATGTTTCAGCATTTAAGATATTCACAAGAACCATGAAGCTTTTATACTCATGGAAAAGACTGTGGTATTTTTCTTTTCTCTTATGGTCTGCCTGATCACTGAAGACATGAAGTTGCCCCCCTCGGGCCACTCTGCCACTGCAGAGCTAGTGTGTGCAGACTAGAGACAGAGCAGGATTCTCGCCTTGGCCTTTGCGGCAGCACCCAGCCCACCGGGAGAATTAACTTCCCCAGGTGTGCACTATGGGTCTGGATGCCCTGGTGATTACAGTGCCGGTGACCCAGCACTAACTGCCCAACTTACACTGCTTGGCTGCACCTCCTTAATTGCTTTCCTTTTGTTAGCATGACAGAATCTTTTAGTATACATTTCTTGTATCTGTTGTTTCTTTTGTTGTTGTCATTTAATCATGAAGTGCTATACAGGATATTTACTGCAGGACCATTAACCTTTATTACCGGTCTCTGGCTCCTTTACCTCTCCTGTTCTCTTCAACACTCTGCCAACTTTATTGATGCTAAACATATAGGAGACAGAGTTGACTCAAAGAGAAGCCTATGACAACAAAAATGGGTATATTATTATCAAAATATAGTCTACAACGTAAACTTTCTCTTCCATCAGCACTTACAATGTTGTATTTTAGTTGGTTTTCACTGAGTTATGTAGGATGGGGAGATGCTACTTTAAGAAAAATCTGAACTTGGCTCAAGAGTTCTTAGAAGGCATGCTCAGAGGGAGCACGTGCTCTTCCTGTCTCCTTCCTCCCCATGTGTGAGCAAACATTCTAGAACTGCTTCTACCTGAAAAATGGCTGATCCTCTGTTACAAGACCCTTAGCTGAGGCCGAAGCCACTAAGCACAAGTTTCGGAATGAAAATATTAGACTGTGGAGTATGGCATGCCCTTTTTTAACTCTGGCTGAACAGCACAGTATTTGATACCTGTTTCTTGTTCCTCTGTCACAGATCTCTGAATCCCTTTATATTTGTGGCAGAACCTCACTCCAGAATCATTTCAGGTTACTGATACTGTTGGCCACTCTTCATTTTTTCTTTGGGGGTGCTGTAGCTAATCTTATGTAGCTATCATCACTGGGAAAGTTCTTTGAGAGGATCTCAAGCACATTTTTTCCTGGACAGTGATTATTATTGATTTAACTAAAGTAAAAACAATCTCCAGTGCTTGCAGTGATGACCCATGGTGGATCAACACAGGAGACACAATAAAGGAATAAGTATACTAGAATTATCAAGGACCAGAAGTGGTTTCCAAATAGCCTCTTTTTTTTTTTTTTTTTTTTTTTTTTTTGGTTTTTATGAGACAGGGTTTCTCTGTATTGTTTTGGAGGCTATCGGTCCAGCCCGGCCTCGAACTCACAGAGATCCGCCTGCCTCTGCCTCCCGAGTGCTGGGATTAAAGGCGTGCGCCACCACCGCCCGGCACTCAAAATAGCCTCTTTAATCCAGGCACTAAGAGGAATGTAAGGCGGGATGAGACAGGAGCAGTCTGGGAGTCTGAGGTTTGGGGAATGGCCCCTTTGGTCTGAGCATTGGCAGAGGTGAGAACTCTCTAGTTGCTGGTTGCTTTGGTTTTCTGATCTTCAGTGTTGACCCCAATATCTGTCCCTGGGTTTGTATTATTTGTGCTAAAATCTGCATCGTATATTTAATCATTAGAAAATAAACTGATTCCTGGAAGTGTGAAATAAAAGATATGCTAAGCATTGATGTCTTTATCCACAGCACACAGAAGATAAGCACACTAGAGTGCTACAAATAAACCCAACCAGCAGAGTAAATCATCCTACCCAGTTCCCTAAAAAAGGAATTCAAGTTTAAGAACCTATCTTTAAGAGTTAGTATTGATGTAAATATGGGATATTGCCACTTAAACCAAAGCATCTACGTTTCCCATCCTCTGTAACTGAAAGAAATTACTGAAAATACCATCTACTTTACCTGTTGTTATATGTGCCTTAGGTCTTCTATCCCTAGACAATAACATGTATGCCTCTATGTCTTAGAACATAGCTCAACACATGTAAGTTCTCATTATATATTCGTTGACTGAACATAACATTAAATATATTGATTTTTCTTTTTCTTTCCTTGTTTCATTTTCCAAAAATAAGGACCTAACCAATTAGACCTTTTGACCTCAGCGCCTGCAGTGATTTAGTGATTTAAGCAAAATATATGCTTACCCCTTCAGAGTCCTTACAATGATTGATTGCTAATGTCAAAGAGAAAGACTGCAGTGAGGCCTTAAAATAGCAGTACCCGAGAAGTCAAGAAAACCATGGTCATTATTTCATTTCCTTTTATTCTAATTGAGGTTTAATTATATACAATACAGTTGCATGGGTCTTAGACTTACAGCTTGATATGTCTGACAATTGATTTACACCCGTGTAATCTCCAGTTCATATGTAGTACATTTCCCTGGTCACCAAAGTTCCCTGTGCTCTCAGCTAATCAGTTCCCTCCCTGGAGCCCTCCCTTCCCTGGGCTCATGAGGGCTTTCTTCTCACTGGGACTTCTCATGGTCATTTGTGTATATATGCCTCCCAGGCATTTTTGCTCTTTCCCAAGATACCACCACTTCAGTAATAATACCCACGATGACCTCTTTGAAGGCCCTGTCTCCAAATACAATAAGCTTTAAGGAGTATTTGGAATTATGCCTGGGATATAGCTAGTCCATAAACAAGTTATTTCCTTCCATAATTATGATTTTTATTTTGCTTTTGTTGTTGACAGCCTAAGGATTCCATTCCAAATAAATAAAATGTAGAAGTATTTTTGTATACCTCTTCCAGGTCTCAGAGGAGACAATCTTGGACCCACTAAGTATGATCTTCCTGGTGCTTTTTTATAATTGTTTTTTATCAGGTTGAAAAAGTCCCTCCTAGATAGTTGAGAGTCTTTGTCATAACTGGGTGTGCTTCATTGCTTGAGATGTAGGAAGTCGGAAAAAAAAGACAGAAAGGGGTCAGGGATGTACTAGTATGCCCTCCACTCCCATGACTAGCTTTCTCCAGCTGGGTCTCATCTTCTAATTTTTCTAGTACCTCCAAAGATAGCATCACTAACTAGAGACCAACCTTTCAATGCATGAGCCTTTGTGAGAACATTTCCTACCCAAACCATAATACTCATCCTTTTTTCATTCACCAATTTGATTATTTGCTAAGATATTGGTAATGTCTGTGTGGTTGTAATGATTGTTTCAGATTTTGTTATCATAACATGTCAGTGGAAACAGTGGCATGGATAAGCTCAGGTGTTCACCCTCTCTCAGAGACACTGCAGACCATACAATTAAGAATCCACCTCCTCAGAACTTGAAGAAAGGAAGGCTTTACGGAAACACCATAGGAGAACTTTGTGGACTCTTAGCATGGATGAACCCCTGCCCTAGAATGGCTTTAGTTCTGAGACATCAGCCCAAGCACAGACAAGAGACCCTGATCTCTGTGGAGGCAGAATCCTGGGTTCAGGTATCAGGGGTCTGTTTTGACCTGTCTGGAGATTCCCCAACATGCTGGCACACTCCCTGCTTTGTGTTCTGCCCAATACTCAGCTTTCATAGGATATTCTGTGAAAACTTTGAAATGAACATGCTGCTGCCTCCTAGGAAAAGAAAATAACATTGAGACAGAAGTATTCAATAAAAGCCAAGAAGCTACAAGACCTAGATAAAATGAACATACACACTACCAGACTAACAATAATTGATTTTTTAAAAAACTGTCCTGAAGAAGCAGAAGCCAGGACCATGTAGTTTCACAAGTGAATTTCAACAAATCTTTAAAAAGCAAAGCAAATGGGTGGGTGGCCTTGGTACATGCCTTTAATCTTAGTACTAGGCACAGAGAGATCTCTTTGAGTTCGAGGCCACCATGATCTATAAATAAGTTCCAAGAATGCTAGGACCGCTATACAGAGAAACCCTGTCTTGAAAAACAAAAACAAAAAACAGCAAAAAAGTAAGGCAAATGCTTCTCACAACCGTCCATAAAATAGAACAGGCAGGTATACTTCAGAACTTACTTTAAGAGTCCCCAGTACTGAAACCAGGCAACCATAAAACAAACGTCTATTATAAATATGCATGGAAGTAGCCTAAACAAAAACAGTAGCAAGCTGAATGCAGCAGCATATTAAGGTGATAAATCACGACCAAGTGGCATTAGTACAGGAATGCAAAGGTGATTCAACTCAGAAAAATCAATCAATGTAAAGTACCACATGAGCAGAACGAAGCCAAACCACATGATCATCTCAGTCGACAGAGGAAAACACATTCGACAAAAATCTTCAGTGGAAGATTTCCTAAGTAGTTAAAGGAATTTATGTGTAAAACCCACTAACAAATTCTCACAGTCCTCCAAAATAAATAGAGATAATTTGTGTTGTTGAAAAGTAATAAATATAAAATAAAACCAAAAAGAGAAAATTAAGTAGGGCTCATAAAAGTTCACAGAGACTGAGGCAGCAATCCTGGAGTCTGCATAGATCTGCACTAGGTCCTCTGCATATGTGTTATAATTTTTACCTTGATATTCTGTGGACCCCTAACAGTGCGAGCATAGATGTCTCTGACTCTTTCATCTGCACTTGAGACCCTTTCTTCCTACTGAGTTGCCTCATACAGCCTTGATAGGAGGGTTTGTGCCTAGTGTTATCGGGTCATGCCATGCTTGGATGCTCTTGGGTGCTCTTGGGAAGCCTCTCATTTCTGAAGGAAAATGGTGGGGGAATGGATCTGGGGGAAAAGGGAGGTGGGGTAAGGTAGAATGGGAGAAATGAAGGGAGGGGAAGCTGTGGCCAGGATATATTAAAAGCAAAAAAAAAAAAAAAACTTGAAGGCAAGGATGTAATTATGTCACTAGACCCAAGATAAATGATAAATGTGTGTTTATTGGGGATAATTACACAGAACAAAACGAAGTACTGCCAGAGTGTTTCCCTGTTCTTCCTACTGGATCCATGGACCCAACAGAAAGAGGGCTCAAAGGGAAGCCATGCCTCAAGTGCCTCTCTTTCTTCTGCCTGAAGCCACACCCAAAGGGGTGTGGCCGCCATGTCAGGTCCCAGATGCCTACAAAATATAAATTAGATAGGAATGATAGATATGATAGATAGACAGATAGGTTAGATTAGATAAAACCAAAAGAAAAATGACTCCTTTTGGTACTACCATCATTTAATTTAACATCTAGAAGTAAAAAGTAATGAATCAACTAATCAGTACTTCTTAGGAAGGAACAGGGCTATAAAAGCCCATGCTGTAGAAAATAAATTTTTGCTTAAGAATATTGTAGGACCCTATAATGAAGATATTTTACTCATGTCTTTCACATAATGCTTGTTGTAGTCCGATACTGAGTTCTTTAAAAGAAATGAAATATTTTTGTCTAATCTTAAATGCTTTTAAAGAGAATCCTTCAACTTGAAAGGTCTAGAGATGCAAGGTGCTAAGATTTTCTGTTTTGTTAGCAAAAAGATTTTTATTAATAATAGTTAAAGAGAACAAATTATAATAGTTTACCATCGTAGATTCCCATTGTAAAGCCAAATCATCAGCAAATGTGACAAGCAAATGTGTCAAAAAACAAAATAACCTCTGATATTGGACAGGTGAGTATATTTTGTTTGTAAATCACTGATATGTATCAAAACAAAACAACATAAGGAATTTTTCATCTGTCATTGTTACTTTTCAGGAGGAAAAACCCGTTGTCTGTGGAGATTTTGAGATGCTTAAAATGGTCTGCTTTGTTAACTGAAATAAACCTAACATTTCTTTTATCGAACACTCAAACTGTTTTATCTGTTGTTTATACAGAGACAGCGACAAGAGTTAGAAAAGATGCATCCACATCTCCTATGCTAACAAGAAGGCCTAAGGACCCTGGGACTCCAGCCTCATCATCATCCCAGCACAACGCCTCACAGTGAGTCTGGGAGAGCCTTGACTTAGTGTTCCCCATAAGAAAATGTTTATAAGACTGAAGAAATCTTGGCAGTTTTAGTGCTCTTACTCTAATGACACTTATTATAAAGCTGTAGATCTGGCAAATTCATTGCAGAGTTCTTTTCTCCATATTTGCACTTTCTGAAATGATTATGATGTTACTAAGGATTGCCATAGAAATCCAAAGCATCCTGTCCACAGAAACTCTGCTTAGCAGCAGGTCTTTCTCAACTGATCATGGAAGGTAATATATTTGGTCTATACTTTTAAGTGTTAAATTCTAAAAATCACAGTGGATTTTGTGCTAATGGTATGCTTACATCCACTAATGCCAGAGACTTTAGAGGAGCTAATCAGCCCATTCTTGAGTTAGGGAAAGAAATATATTATTTAAAACTTCTTACATTAATATAACAACTCGTATAAACATATTACACACTTAAGACTCAATATATTAAACATCAGTTTCAAAAAGACTTGGTTTATGTTTCCTTGGGGATAAGGTTGGTCTGGGGTACTTAAGTCACTCATATTTTATCACATGCATATTTATTTTAAGACTTTAATTTTTAATTTAATTGTCTCAATTGTTGATCTCAAGGCTGGTGATTTCAAAGATATACTATAAAACATATTCTTTGGTTTATGGTTTGAGGAAGGAAAGAGTTTTAACTCTTCATTCTCTATAGAGATATCTTTCATCGAAGTCTCATATAAGTGCAGTCACAGATGGGAAACCTACATGTTCTTAAGAAGTGGCGTTTGCTCTAACTCTGGCTCTTATTGGCATGCATTTGATTCTGGAAGCAGAAAGAGAACTACACAAAAGACCTGGGAAGTGACTGCTGCAGAGGATAGTACATGGGGCTGTTGTCTGTTGAATGCTCTGTACAGAACTGTGTCAAATTCCTTAATGTATCATCTGATTTAGTCTTCACAGCCTGTAGAGATAGGGCTACCTTCATCCTCGTTTTAAAATTGGGAAGCCATGACTCAGAGATATTGAGTGTATTCTGTAAGACCCTGTCTTAGTTTGGTTTTCATTGCTGTGAAGAGACACCATGATCATGGCAACTCTTATAAAGAATCTTTAATTGGGGTGTCTCGCTTAGAGTTTCAGAGGTTCAGTCCATTATTATGATGGGGACCTTGGCAAAAATTTAGGCAGATGTGGTGCTGGAGCTGAGAGTGCTGTATCTTGCAGGCGACATGAAGTCAACTGAATGTTTCACTTGAACAAAAGACATGTCAAAGCCCACCCCCACAGTGACGGACTTCCTCCAACAAGGCCACACCTCCTAATAATGCCACTCCCTTTGGGGGCCATTTTCTTTCAAACCACCACAGACCCTTAGCTAATAAAAGGCAGGACCAGCATTTCAAAGTCCAAAGCCATTAACTTAAGTAGTATAATGACCAACATCATTAGTCTCCCAACTGTAAAGGTGACATAAAGTAACTAGCTTGCCCATCTTTCTCCACTGACCTCTTTCTTGCTTTTGGTGCTGGCACTGTTGGAATTTGATAGCAAGAAACACATGATTTGTGATCCTTCTATTTTATACTATGCCACATTGTGGGTGGAAGCATGTATCTATCCAGCCCTCATGGATTAGCTTGGCCGAGTTAGAAATGGCTGGTAGTCTAGATCTTCCATCTCAGTGAATTTTCTTACTGTTGATATTTCAATGACATTTTGTTGAAACTAGGGCTCAAACTCAGGGCTTTGTACGTGGTAGGCAAGCATTCCACCCCTAAGCTACACCATAGCACTAAAATGTGATTTTTAACACAACTTTAATGTATCTGTGAAGGGTTACTTTCAATTTAAAGGGAAGCATGAAAAATAGGAATAAAATGTTTCTCTGTAAGAGTTTTGTAAAAAATATCCTCAGCATAAATTTTCTGAATGGACCATATCAGCATGGTAGTGTGTTACAAGCCCTGGTTTAAATTGCTGCGAACACTCATATTTACAGATGTTAAGAAAAGGATAATTCATCTCCTGGCCCTTAATACTGCTGATCAGCTAAATATAGATGCTCAGGAGCTTTGTAAATAATAAGCATTTGGCTGACTAGAAGAATGTGTACCACACCACATCTGATCTTTCGAGAAGTTCACAGGAGCATATCATTGGTGTATTATACAAAGTGCAGAGTTGAAAACGATTCAGTACTATGAAAACCAGCTACCAGGACAGCACAGTGGTGCTTCTCCATCATTAGGAACCAGAGCATTTGAATCATTCACATCATAAAGTATGTACTAGTCATTTTAGTAGACTTTGTTTTCATTATGCAGACTCTGATTCTTCCTCCTACAAGTCTTTAAAGAGAGTAGATTTTTAAGCCTTATTCACCCTAAATTCCAAGAATGCTTAAGGTTTATGAAAGGCTTTCAAAAGATGATGGCATGTTTCAGTATTGGAGAGATAAATTTTTCCTTTGTTCTTGGAAAACACCTGAAAGTATCCCATATCATTCCATGTACAAGCAAAGAAAAAAGTCACAGCAGAGTCATGTTTTCTAATCATGGTATAGGTTTTCAGTTGTTCTCTCTGCTAGCTGTCAATATAATGTGAAATTTTCATTCCCCATTCAAGATGGGAAAAGTTTGTGGCAGAAAATGTTAACATTTGCATTTTTATTTGTTGATTTATTTAAAGGACAGCCTCTCCTACAGCAATCCATCACTTGGTGACACCCCAGATATGAATAATGTATTGCAGACTTGTGGTTACAATGTGTAGTAAGTGCTTGAGACAGTAAAAGAATGGTAACTATGTTGCAAATGTAATATTTATCAACTCATAAAGTTTACTGCTTTTGAGGTTCAATAATACTGACCATAGGACATTAATATCACTTATCTTGATTTTAGCTGGGCAACTTTATATGTAGAAATATTCATCTATCTCATGCTAACAAAATAAATATGTACTTTACAGCACAAGCAAAAAAAAAAAGTATTATACCTTCCCTGCTGGAAGCCATTTTACCTGTGACTCCAGTGCTGGTTGTGCACCCCTAAGCTCTCAGTGATGGTAGGGACAGTGGTTATCTTGGTCTACGAGGATTGTGGTACCAACAAAATGATACTGTTCACTTCTGCTCAGTAAGAACAGGTGGTCCTGCACAGACCAGTCCACCTGGAGGGGCTCTGTTCCCTCTCACCGTGAGCACCGTGAGGATATGTGAACCTTAGCTCAGGGAGAAAGCTAGGGATGTTCTCTGTTGCTCTGAAACTGAATCGCTTGATTCTCTTTTATCCATCATGATGCCAGAGATGGGCAGGTTACCCTTTGCCTCTCAGACGAATCGTTAGGAGCACAAATATACCCTTATGTACCTTCCCAAACTGGGTATATCCACTGCAAAAATAAAAAATAAAAGAAGTTTCTAAACACCAAATCCAAAGAAGTGGTATATTAACCAACATGGATGGTGTGCACTCCCTTAAGGTGCAGAATTAATGTGTTTCAGCACTGTAAATAACCTTTCTGGTTGTATGTTTGCATTAATGTGACTTTGGGTTTCAGGTCTTTGATCTGAAGCTACACTAGGAGGTAAGCGTTACACAGCTGTGCGTCCTTCTGGGTGACACAGCACATTTCTTATTAAAATGGAGGACTGCCCTCTGCTCTGTGCTTCTTCACAGCAGCGGAAATAGTGATGGAGTTTCCAGTTCTCAGTTCTGTGGCAACACGATGATGATAAACAGACTAACTCCAGACCCATGGCTTCAAGGTCAATGCACAATCTCTGAAGTGCAAGTTCACTGAGCCCTTCCCTGCCCCTCTGTGACTCATTGGACACTAGGACGCTTGCTCTCCCGTATCTGTTTCCTGTGACTGGTGAAGAGGAGAAAGGCAGTCCCTATACATCATGCCCAGAAAGAAAATTAGTGCAGTTAACACTAGACTCATCTCTCTCGAAAAAGTGCTGTTTGTCTATCTTACTTTGGCTTTTTTTTTTTCATAAAGATTTGTATTTTTTTCTTTTCATTATTTTTTTAAACACCTGGGTAGATTTGCAAAATACTGATATAGGGCATCTTCTTTCTTTTTTTATTTTTTACAGTTTCTTTTTTTTATTTTTAAATTTAAATTAGAAACAAGGTTGCTTCACAAGTCAGTTCCAGGTCCCTCTCCCTTTCCCTCCCCTCCTCCCGTGCCCTCCCCCAATCCCCCCCAATATCCCCTCATTTCCTCAGGGAGGGTGAGGCCCTCCTTGGGGGTATCCATAGTCTGTCATTTCATCCAGGGCAGGGCATAGACCCTCCCCCAAGAGTTCAGGGTGAGAGTGCATCTCACATTGTTGGATGGGAGTCCAGTTTTTAGAAAAAAGCTTGCTTCATGTGTCAATCCCAGTTACCTCTCCCTCCCCTCCTCCTGCACTTCCACTGTCCCCTCCAGCCTCCCACCCTTTCCCCACTTCCTTCCACATAGGTGATATCCAGATTCTGACTAGGCCCTCCCCCCAAGAGTCCAGGCTGAGAGAGCATCCCTCTTTGTGTTATGGACACATGAAGTCCATTTGTATGCCAGGGATAAATACTGATCTACTGCCCAGGACCCCATAGGTTGCCCAGGTCTCTTTACTAACTCTCACATTCAGAGTTCTAGATCAGTCCCATGCTGGCCTCCCAGCTGTTAGTGTGGGTTCCAAGAGCTCCCCCTTGTTCAGGTCAGGTGTTTCTACTGGTTTCCCCACGCCATTCTTTACCCATTTGCTCATCACTCCTCCCTCTCTGTCAGAGGTCTCACTGGTGCCAGATCTCTCTTCAAACCTATAATGACTTCCTCTATTATGGTATCTCTCATCCTGTTCTCCCCCTATTCTTACCCCAACTCAACCGTCTTGCTCCCCCATGACCTACTCTCTCCTCCTCTTCTCCCTCTCTTCTTTCAGCACCCAATCTCCCTACCCCGGCCTGCTGCCAATCTGTTCAGGAGATCTTGCCTCATTCCTCTTCTCT